AGAGGCCACAACAGTGAGAGGCCCGTGTACCGCAAAAAAAAAAAAAAAAAAAAAAGTGAATTAATTTAAGTCAGATTTTGGTTGGTCAGAATTCAAACTCCTGACCCTTCAAAATTACAGCTGTGGTTCTTTTAAGAAAACTCACCTTATGAAAAAATCTGAATTTATAAAAGAAAAAGTGTCTTTGAATGCATAGGAACATGTGAACAACATTAAAAGGAATCTTCTAAATGAAATATATCTAAAATATCCTTCTTGGACTTCCCTGGTGGTGCAGTGGTTAAGAATCCGCCTGCCAATGCAGGGCACACGGGTTCGAGCTCTGGTCCGGGAAGACCCCACATGTTGTGGAGCAACTAAGCCCTTGCGCCACGACTACTCAGCCTGCGCTCTAGAGGCCTCGAGCCACAACTACTGAGCTCACACGCCACAACTATTGAAGCCCACGTGCCTAGAGCCTGTGCTCCGCAACAAGAGAAGCTACCGCAATGAGAAGCCCACGCACCGCAACGAAGAGTAGCCCCCACTCTCCACAACTAGAGAAAGCCCGGGGGCAGCAATGAAGACCCAACACAGCCAAAAATAAATAAATTAATTTAAAATAAATAAATAAATAAAATACCCCTCTATTTACAAAGATTGCTTACCCTTTTTTGATGGAGTTCAGAAACTGCTGACTTGCACCATCAGAATAACTTCTGAAATCATCATTGACTGTGAATCCATTTTTCCATAATTTTATACTTACATCTGCCTGCAAAGCAGTAAGAAACAAAATGCATCATGTTAATAAATGAAATGTACTAATAAACTAAAAGTCCCTTGAAACTTTCTTCTATCAGTGTATATTTTATAGATCAATCTTTTCTTTAAAATAGAGATATAACTGACATATAACATTGTATTAGTCTTAGGTATACAACATAATGGTTTGATATATATATCTACTGCAAAATGATTACAGAATAAGTGTAGTTAACATCCATGACCACACACAGCTACAAATTTTTTAAATATACCATTCTTAACAGCAAGCTTCAAATGTAAAATATCAAAAATTATAATGTACACATAAAATATGGTTAACAATGAATAATATTTTAAAATAATTCGTTAATAATTTTCTTTAAGAGAGGTCATTTGCAAAAATATTCTGTGCCCTGTCTTAGAGGACACTAAAGCTTTCTGGCCAGAACAGACTTCTCAACAGTTAGAGAAGGACTTTGAAATGACTTGAACATTAGACTTTGAACATTAAGAATAATAAAGGGGAAAAAAAAAAAAAAATAAAGGGAAAAAAAAAAAAAAGAATAATAAAGGGGGAAAAAAAAACTATGAGTAATTAATGGCTATTCCTTCAAATATAAACTATCAGTGTTACTGTTATCAATATTTAATCTCTCAACATCTTGTTGATCATCTCCTAAGAACATTATTTATTCACTCATTCAATCAAAGAAGTCACTGTAGAAATATAGAAAGGTTCAGAAATACAGTAGAATGCAGGGATGCTTCAGGCTGAACACAGAAGGACTGAAAAATCCATTTAAGAAAATAGACTATTAGAGGCCTTCCCTTGTCTCTAGCATTTATTCATTCAGCATATGTTTATTGAGTAATATGTAACAGACACTCCATTAAGATGTTAGGGAAAACAATCACAATAATGATAGCATATATTATTAGCCTGCCTGCCTATCTATCTGTCTATGTACTTACCTGAGAGAGCACTTGTGTGTACACTTACATGTACCAAACACTGTTTAAAGTACTTTCCCTACATATATTTATTTAATCCTCCTAAAATCTACAGAAGATGGGTATTATTATTGTTATCCTTTTTATAGATGGGAAATTAGAAACACAGATCAATTAAATTGCCCAATATTACATAGTCAGTAAGGGTGGAGCTGGGGTTGGGATCCATACTCTTAACCACTATACTATATTACCTCTTTTTTTTACCTATAACCAAACTGCCAAGACTCTGCTCTCATGGTACTCACAGAAAAGAATGAGAACTAAAAAAATTGTACAAATGAACTTACTTACAAAACAGAAATAGAGTCACAGATGTAGGAAACAAACTTATGGTTACCGAGGGGGAAAGTGGCAGGGAGGGATAAATTGGGAGATTGGGAGTAACACATATATAAAACAGACAACTAATAAGGACCTACAGTATAGCACAGGGAATTCTACTCAATACTCTGTAATAACCTATACAGGAAAAGAATCTAAAAAAGAGTGGATATATGTATATGTGTAACTGATTCACTTCACTGTACAGCAGAAACTAATACAACATTGTAAATCAACTATAATCCAATAAAAATTAATTTAAAAAAAAGAAAAGAAAAGAATGGGAACAGAACAAATAGGAAAAGAGCACATAAAGATACTGAGGAGGGGAATTCCCTAGCAGTCCAGTGGTTAGGACCGGTACTTTCACTGCTGAGGGCCCGGGGTTCAATCCCTGGTCAGGGAACTATCCCACAAGCTGCATGCGCCAAAAAAAAAAAAAAAAAAAAAAAAAGACACTGAGGAAAACAGAAGAAACTTAAACACAAAAATCCAAAAATGATAATTAATACACTTATATAAGAGAGGATGTTTGAAAGGGAGTAGGAGGGAATATTCAGTGAGCAAAAGAGCTCTTAGAAACTTAAAATGGAAATTAAATAAAAGGATTGACTATAAGGTTGAAGAAATATTACAATTAAAATAGAACAAAACAACAAAGAGGTGGAAAACAGGAGAAATAATAAGAGACTCAGTCCAAGAGATCCATTATTGGTGCCCGGGTCCGGGAAGATCCCACATGCCGCGGAGCAGGTGGGCCCATGAGCCATGGCTGCTGGGCCTGTGTGTCCGGAGCCTGTGCTCCGCAATGGGAGAGGCCACAACAGTGAGAGGACCGCGTATCGCAAAAAAAAAAAAAATAATAAAAATAAATAAATAAAAGGCAAATTAGAGTAAAGGGATCTCTTTAATGTCTGACTTCGAAAAGCCAGCTAGATTCTCATAATTGCTGCTGCCTTCAGTCTGCTGTGATATGGCATTTTGATTGAAGTACATTAAAAAAAAAAAAATCAAGCCTCAAACAGATACATAGTTGCAAAAAGCATTTTAATAGCTTTTCCAAGATACTACATCAAAATGTAGTAAGTAGTAGTATCTCAGAAGTTAGTTGAGGGCTTCCCTGGTGGCACAGTGGTTGAGAGACCGCCTGCTGATGCAGGAGACACGGGTTCGTGCCCCGGTCTGGGAGGATCCCACATGCCGCGGAGCAGCTAGGCCCGTGAGCCATGGCCGCTGGGCCTGCGCGTCTGGAGCCTGTGCTCTGCAACGGGAGAGGCCACAACAGTGAGAGGCCCACGTATTGCAAAAAAAAAAGTTAGTTGAAAATATCACATGGTAACACATATGTAGAATCTAAAAAACTGATACAAGTGAATATATTTACAAAACAGAAACAGACTCATAGATATAGAAAACAAACTTATGGCTACTGAAGGGGAAAGGTGGGGTGAGGGATAAATTAGGAGTTTGGGATTAACAGATAAACACTACTACATATAAAATAGATAAACAACAAGGGCCTCCTGCATAGCACAGGGAACTTATATTCACTAACTCGTAATAACCTATAATGAAAAAGAATATATATTACACATATTTTATATTATATCATATATATATTTTATATACATTATATATATTATATATATATTATATATGTATAAAAAGACTGAATCACTTTACTGTACATCTGAAACTAACACAACTTTTTTCTTTTTTTGGCCACGCTGCGTGGCTTGTGGGATCTTAGCTCCCCAGCGAGGGACTGAACCTGTGCCCTCAGCAGGGAAAGTTCAGAGTCCTAACTACTGGACAGCCAGGGAATTTCCTAACACAACATTTTAAATCAACTGTACTTCAATTTAAAAAAAAAAAGTTGAGGGACTTCCCTGGTGGCACAGTGGTTAAGAATCCGCCTGCCAATGCAGGGGACACAGGTTCGATCCCTGGTCTGGGAAGATCCCACATGCCGCGGAGCAACTAAGCCCATGTGCCACAACTACAGAGCCTGCACTCTAGAGCCTGCAAGCGACAGCTACTGAGTCCATGTGCCACAACTACTGAAGACTGCGTGCCTAGAGCCTGTGCTCCGCAACGAGAAGCCATCGCAATGAGAAGTATGCACACTGCAACGAAGAGTAGCCCCCGCTCGCCGTAACTAGAGAAAGCCCACGTGCAACAACGAAGACCCAACGCAACCAAAAATAAATAAATAAAAAATAAATAAATGTATTCAAAAAAAAAAGTGAGTTGAGAATCTGAACATGGAATCTGAAACTTAAAGGTACATTTATTAATATGACAATAATCCTATTAGAAATATCTTTTAAGTTTTGGGAAGCTGTCAAGTGCATGATGGCAGATTATCAAAATTCTTACTTTCATGTAAAAAAGTTGATAAAATCATATCTTATCATTTGCAACAAATACTGTAAGTTGTTTCCCTTGAAGTGTCAGACTTACTTCATACATTTTGAGAAAATGTCTGCAGAATATCCAAGACTGAATAACTAGTTGTCTGTAAATCACTTTCATGTAAAAACAGTACACCATGAAAAAGCAGAGTGTTCAGCTTGTATCTCAAGCAATGGTACTTTTCCTTAAGATACTTCTGTATATTGTAGAAATGTTTTACATACACTTCATATTTTATCACATAGAATATTTGTAAGATGTGTATTAAAGAGTTGGGATTTAATGAAATGTGTAAATTTTACTGCTTCATCAAGGAAATTTTTAATTGAAACGAGTGTTTTTTCCCCCTGCAAGTTCAAGGAAAGAATACAGTGTACAGAGTAGTGTCACTACCTCAATTCCTCCTAAGGTGCCAGTTTTGCCTACCATTGCTTTTGCAGTATCAGTGCAAACTCAACACAGTGAAAAAAATAGTATCTTACTATTATTATGAAAACAGTTTTGACCTCTAAAGGGCCATATTTTGAGAAGCACTGGGAAAGAAAAAATTTATGGACACTTACCTGTTTCTTTTGTTCAGTGGGAGACAAACATTTGGCACCAACCTTCTGAGCTTCCTCAAAAAGGCTGTCAACAAAATATTCACAATTTGTTTGCTGATTATCACTAAGAGGTTGGTGGTCAGATCCTGTTTCACAAACCCTATACACACACAAAAAAAAGAAAAATAAGCACTATTAACCACTAATTCTCTAAAAATTTACACAAATTGTTCTAGTTAAAGGATCTAGAGCTGACATGCTACCTCCACGCCTGCAGTTGAGACTCTCTTCTGAATTAACATAGTAGATATGTGGCCTCGGGAAGTCATTAACACTTGTGGTCCAGAGCAGGGTTTTCTCAGCTTCAGTCCATTGATATTTGGGGAGGGTTAATTCTTTGTTGGGCAGGCTGTCCTGTACACTGTAGGAAGTTTAGCAGCACCTGTGGCCATTAACCACTAGACGCCAGTAGCATGGACATCCCCCAACCCCCCAGTGTTATAATAATAAAAAACATCTTTAGACAATGCCAGATGGCCTCTGGGGGTGGGATGGGCAAAACTGCACCAGGTTGAAAACCACTGGTCCAGAGTAAAAAAACAACGTGTTCTTTGTAAAGCTCTCAAAATGGCTTTAAAGGGGGTTACTATGTACTTTTTGGTAACACAAAGCACTCTTGAAACTAAAGGTGGTAAGGTGTGAGGAACAGTCATAATCATAGTTTTGCTCCTTTGCACACTTCAGAATGAAATTTCCCACTTAAGACTTTCATCTGTAGTGGTTTAACACTCTACTGGGTTTTTTTTTTCCTTTCTTTCTTTTTAAATTGAGGTACAACTGACATACAACATTATTTTAGTTTCAGATATACAACATAATAATTCAATGCTTGTATGTACTGAAAAATAATCACCACAATGTCTAGTTAATTGTTAACATCCCTCACCATGCATAGTTACAGAATTTTTTCCTTGTGATGAGAACTTTCAAGATTTACTCTCTTGGCAACTTTCAGATATGCAGTAAGTGTTATTAACTAAAGTCTCCATGATGTACATTATATCCCATGACTTATTTATTTTATAACTGGAAGTTTGTACCTTTTGACCACCTTCCTCCATTTTGCCCACCCCATCTACTGTTTTTGTATGTGTGTTTATATTTTGTCGTATAAGAAATATTACCTAAGAGTTTGTTTGATAAAAGGATGGTTTCTGGTTGATCTTTTCTAAAGTCACATAGAAAATTCATAAATGTACTGAGAGATAATTTCTCAGATTTCTCAGATAATAATCACACTTTTATAGTGCTTACACTGTGCCAGGATCTGCAAGGCAGATATTTTTATCCACATTTTATAGATAAGGAAAATGAGTCACAAAGAGGTTAAGTTACATGTTAGAGATTACACAGCTAGTAAGTGGCAGAAACAGAATTCAAACCCTGTCTTCCAAGTCTATGCTCCTAGCCATGATACATTATAAAGCCTCTCTTAATAGCTAATATTTATTAAGCATTTATTAATACATGTTAGGAACTTTTCTAAGCGCTTTCAGTGTGTTTACTCTTTCAATCTTCACAGTGACCTAAAAGGCACGTATTGGTTTGTTTGGTTTTTTTTAACATCTTTATTGGAGTATAATTGCTTTACAATGGTGTGTTAGTTTCTGCTTTATAACAAAGTGAATCAGTTATACATATACATATGTTCCCATATCTCTTCCCTCTTGCGTCTCCCTCCCTCCCACCCTCCCTAGCACATATGGTTTTTATCCTCATTTACTAGGTAAAGAAAAAGCTTAAGCAATTTGCCAAAGATCACAAAGCTATTGGTAGGCAGAGCTGGAAACTGAACTCAAGCTTCTAATGCCCCTACTCTTTTTCAATTTATTTATTTATTTATTATTTATTTTTGGCTGCATTGGGTCTTCGTTGCTGAGCACGGGCTTTCTCTAGTTGCGGCGAGTGGGGGCTACTCTCCCTTGTGGTGCACAGGCTTCTCATTGCGGTGGCTTCTCTTGCTGCAGAGCATGGGCTCTAGGCGCGCGGGCTTCAGTGGCTGCGGCACGCGGGCTCGGTAGCTGTGGCTCGCGGGCTCTAGAGCACAGACTCAGTAGTTGTGGTGCATGGGCTTAGTTGCTCCTCGGCATGTGGGATCTTCCTGGACCAGGACTCGAACCCGTGTCCCCTGCATTGGCAGGCAGATTCTTAACCACTGTGCCACCAGCGAATCCCCTATTATTATTTTAAAATTTTATTTATTTTATTTTTGGCTGCACTGGGTCTTCGTTGTTGCATGCAGGCTTTCTCTAGTTGCAGCGAGTGGGTGCTACTCTTTGTTGCGGTGCACAGGCTTCTCACTGTGGTGGCTTCTCTTGTTGCGGAGCACAAGCTCTAGGCGTGTGGACTTCAGTAGCTGTGGCACTTGGGCTCAGTAGCTGTGGCTCACAGGCTCTAGAGCACAGGCTCAGTAGTTGTGGTGCACAGGCTTAGCTGCTCTGTGGCATGGGGGATTTTCCCCGACCAGGGCTTGAACCTGTGTCCCCTGCACTGGCAGGCGAATTCTTAAGCCCTGCACTACCAGGGAAGCCCCTTACTAATTATTTAAATTCAAAGTATTGATACATATTTTAACATTATAAAGCTTGAAAACATTATGCTAAATGAAAGAAGCCAGTCACAAAAGACCCCATATTCTATGATTCCACATATATGAAATGCCCAGAATAAGCAAATCTATAGACACAGAGAGTGTATCATTGGTTGTCAGGCGTAAGGCACAGGAGAATGGGGTATGACTGCTAATAGGTATGGGGTTTCTCTCTGGGTGATGTAAATGTTATAAAACTGACTGTGGTAATGGTTTCACAACTCTATGAATGTACTAAAACCCACTTAATTGTATACGTTTTTGGGTTTTTTTTGGCTGCATTGCATCTTCGTTGCTGCAAGCGGGGGCTACTCTGCGTTGCAGTGTGCAGGCTTCTCCTTGCGGTGGCTTCTCTTGTTGCGGAGCACAGGCTCTAGGCGTGCAGGCTTCAGTAGTTGCAGCATGTGGGCTCAGTAGTTGTGGCTCAAGGGCACTAGAGTGCAGGCTCAGTAGTTGTGGCACACGGGCTTAGGTGTTCTGTGGCACGTGGGATCTTCCCGGACCAGGGATCAAACCCCTGTCCCCTTGCATTGGCAGGTGGATTCTTAACCACTTCCCTGTGCCACCAGGGAAGTCCCTGAATTGTATATTTTAAATGGATGAGTTATATGGTATGTGAATTACGTCTCCACAAAACTGTTAGAAGTCCTAAGTTAATCTTACTCTTTAAAATCAGTCATTCAGGGCTTCCCTGGTGGCTCAGTGGTTAAGAATCTGCCTGCCAATGCAGAAGACACGGGTTTGAGCCCTGGTCTGGGAAGATCCCATATGCTGTGGAGCAACTAAGCCCGGGCGCCACAACTACTGAGCCTGCACTCTAGAGCCTGTGAGCCACGACTACTGAAGCCCACACATGTAGAGCCCGTGCTCTGCAACAAGAGAAGCCACTGCAATGAGAAGCCTGCACACCGCAACAACGAGTAGCCCCCGCTCACTGCAACTAGAGAAAGCCCACGTGCAGCAATGAAGACGCAACACAGCCAAAAATTAATAAACAAAAAATTTTTTAAAAATTAGTCATTCAACTGGGGCTTCTGTGGTGGCCCAGTGGTTAAAACTCCATGCTTCCACTGCAGCGGGTATGGGTTGGATCCCTGGTTGGGGAAGTTCTGCAAGCCACAAGGTGCGGCAAAAATAAATAAGTAAGTAAGCAAGCCATTCAACTTATTTCTCTGTAGAAAAGAGTTAACATAGCAGGCCTAACTGTTGCTATCCTTTTTACTTTTCTCATGACAGTATGGAATTTTAATATGTGCCTAGTCCCCAGTATAAACCCTAGGCTCATTTCCAATGAACTTCCCTGGTAGACAACATCTCACACGTGCTATATAACTTATTACTGGAGGAATTAAGTGTGTGTCCTGGTGGCTCCACTGGGCAAGGACTCTTCTCTTAGAAGCTTATGCCTGGTTTCCCCTGGACTTCACCCTCTTGCAAAGTATCTTTTCATTGCAATAAAGCTTAGTCATTAGTATGACTATTGGCTGAATCCTGTGAATCCTCTAAGCAAATCATCACATCTGAAGGCAGTCTTAGGGGCTCCTGACATAACCTCACAATTATATAGTTAGTATCAGATATTTATATAAAACAGTAAGTACTCTAGTGAAAAAATAATAAATAATATTTGTTCGGTATAGAAAGTGTTCACAAAGTATTTGTAAATACTTACCTGTCTCCTTAAATGGACTATGAATGAAAGATATTTACCTTTTCAAGTATTTAAAACAAAGAACATAATACAAAATAAATATTCCACTTCAGAGAAGTGAGAATAAAGAATTTTGTATTAATAAGGACAGACTTTGCATCTACCATTTATTGGGTGCCTGCTATATGCTAATACGATGCTCAGTGCTTTAAATTGGCTATCTAATTCTTATAAAAACCTTTCAGGTACCTATGTACACCTCCTCCTTTTTATTTCTTTCTTTTTTTTTTTTTTTTGCGGTACGCGGGCCTCTCACTGTTGTGGTCTCACCCGTTGCGGAGCACAGGCTCCGGATGCGCAGGCTCAGTGGCCATGGCTCACGGGCCCAGCCGCTCCAAGGCATGTGGGATCTTCCCAGGCCGGGGCACGAACCCGTGTCCCCTGCATCAGCAGGCAGACTCTCAACCACTGGGCCACCAGGGAAGCCCAACCTCCTTTTTAGATGAGATATTGAAGCTCAAAGAATCTACCTAAGTTGCTCAAATGCCAGAGAAGTAGTGTTAAGACAGAGATGGGATTCAAACCTAGGTTTATCTGATTCCAAAGCCCTTATATTTCCACTATGACTTCAAGATAGTATAACACAAGAGGCTAATGAAGTAATAAATAGTTACTTTAATTTTCCTCTTAAATAACAGAAAGAATGTGGGCACAGAGAAATTTAACACTTAAAAAAATTAATCACAATAAGATTTATAACTTGACTAAAATCCATTTAATGCAGCTATGGAAAAAAAAACTTTAAAGTACATTACTATTAGGTATTTAACAGACAATCATAATGAAAACTTACTAAGTCAGTGAAATGTAAAAACAGAGAAAGACAGTAACAAAGGCATTAATAACAAAGAAAATGCATAAATTAACTCACCATTCTTCCTTTATACTTTCAAGATTATCTACTTCTTTCATTCTCTTTTGCCTTACTGTAAAAGTAAAAAGAAAAATAAGGTAAAGTTCTTAATACAGTATTTTAAATAAATTCATTCCAGCGTATGCAGTAAGATTCTTTACCATTAAGTTATTATGTACTCCTAAAGTAGCACTAAAGGGGTCTTAAGAACAAGTGACCTAACTCAAAGCTGTCACTTTCACTTAAAGTAAAGCAATAAAAAGTAAATTTTGGGTTCAGATAATCTGACAAAAGAAAGATTTCATAAAAGTTATGATGAGGGCAATTCCCTGGCGGTCTAGTGGTTAGGACTCTGTGCTTTTACTACCAAGGGCCCATGTTCAATCACTGGTTGGGAAACTAAGATCCTGCAATGCTCGTGGCCAAAAAAAAAAAAAAAAAAAAATTATGATGAAAAATAATGTATGCTTTGGTTTAATAACAAACAAAAGTGAAAGTAAACATTTCACTCAATCTCCAATAGTAACAAAATATCAAATCAATATAAATTCATTCTTTTTTTCCAATGTAGATGATTTTTATTGTCAGTATTTCTTTAAAACATCTTTATTAGAGTATAATTGCTTTACAATGGTATGTTAGTTTCTGCTTTATAACTAAGAGTATCAGTTATACATATACATATATCCCCATATCTCTTCCCTCTTGCATCTCCCTCCCTCCCACCCTCCCTATTCCACCCCTCTAGGTGATCACAAAGCACAGAGCTGATCTCGCTCTGCTATGCGGCTGCTTCCCACTAGCTATCTATTTTACATTTGGTAGTGTATATATGTCCATGCCACTCTCTCACTTTGTCCCAGCTTACCCTTCCTCCTCCCCATATCCTCAAGTCCACTCTCTAGTAGGTCTGCAGAGTCTGTCATACAGAGTGAAGTAAGTCAGAAAGAGACAAACAAATACCGTATGCTAACACATATATATGGAATCTAAAAAAAAAACAGAAAAAAAAAAAAAAGACCAAAAAATGGTCAGAAGAACCTAGGGGCAAAACGGGAATAAAATAGAGCTCCTCCACAACAAGAGGAGCCACCTCAATGAGAAGCCCGCACAGCAACAAAGACCCAACGCAGCCAAAAATAAATTAATCAATTTTTTTAAAAATGGAGAGAAGCAAGAGTGAAAAGTTATTTTTGGGGGGGTAAAAAACTGGATTATTTTCTCTCTTTCCCAAACTTTCTGCAATACTCTTGCCCTTACAACAAAAATAATATAAGAAATAAGGAAACAAATGGATGTTTAAAAGAGTCCAAGCCATCTGCCCTTTGGGAGGTCCTGGAAGCAATGACAGACTAGAAGCAATAAGCATACCAAAAGCCTACATCTTGGCTTCTAAATATAATTTTCCAAGAAAAGGAATCATGGCTCCTTAGAGAAAAGGCTGATTCCAGGGCTGGGACAGAGAAAGAACAAATGAGCCTGAAATATCTTGCACCAGAAAGTAAGATGGTGCTCACTGAATGATGAAGACATATCAAAAGGACACTGAAGCCACCTGAAGGGGTTCCCACTGGACAAGTCTGGGAAATGGAACATCAAAGTAAATAATGATACTAATGGATTATAACTCACTGAATAAAACAAAAACCCAAGAGGAGTCCATACTATTAGATCTTAAAAAAATCAGGAAAAGATGGACTTGTAAATAAATTCAACAGTCATATGGAATCACCATTACCAAGATAAATTCCAGATATATCCAAGATCTAAAATTTAAAAATTGAACCTGAGGGTGATGTCAGCAAAATGAAAGAATAGGCAGCTCCAAGCTCCTGTCCCCACAGAAACATTGAAAAACAAGCAGAAACTATTAGAACCAACTTAGAACTCTGGAAAGTAGTCAAAGGTTTACAGCTATCAAGCAAATGATGAATCAAGAAAAATACAACTTAAAAACAGCAGGGAATACAAACCAATTCAAAACTGGGCAAAGCATGTGAACAGATATTTCTCCAAAGAAGAAATATGAGTAGACAATAAGAACATGAACAGGATGCTCAACATCACTAGTCACAATGAGATACCACTTTATACACATCAGAATAGCTATTATTTAATAAAACAAAAATAATAAGTGCTGACAGGAATGTGGAGAAATTAGAACACCGGAATATTGCTGGTGGAAATGTAAAACGGTACAGCTGCTGTAGAAAAGGATTTGGTGGTTGAGGCATTATTCACAATAGCCAAGAAGTGGAAATAATCCAGATGTCCATCAACAGATGAATGTCTGAACAAAATGTGGTATATACATATAATGGAATATTAATTAGCCGTAAAAAGGAATGAAGTTTTGATACATGCTACAACATGAATAAACCTTGAAAATATTAAGTGAATTAAGTCAAACACAAAAGGACAAATATTGCATGATTCTAGTTACATTGATATTTCATACAAAGCAAATTCATAGAGATAGAGAAGTAAAATAGAGGTTTTTAGGAACTGGGAGAAGAGAGGAATGTGGAATTACTGCATAACGGGCACAGAGTTTCTGTTTGGGACCATGAAGAAGACTTGGAAATGGACAGTGGTAATGGTTACACACCATTGTGAATATTATTAATGCTGCTGAATTGTACACTTAAAATTGGTTAAGATGGCAAATTTTATGTTTTATATGTATGTATTTTACCACAATAAAAAAAACTTTAAAAAAGGCAAACTTTTTTTTTTTTTTTTTTGTGGTAGGCGGGTCTCTCACTGTTGTGGCCTCTCCCGTTGCGGAGCACAGGCTCCGGACGTGCAGGCTCAGCGGCCATGGCTCACGGGCCCAGCCGCTCCGCGGCATGTGGGATATTCCCGGACCGGGGCACGAACCCGTGTCCCCTGCATCGGCAGGCGGACTCTCAACCACTGCGCCACCAGGGAAGCCCAAGGCAAACTTTTTAATTATTAAAGAAAACATGGTAAACTTCCCTATAACCCTGGAAGAGAAGACAACTTTCCTATAACTCAAATCCACAAGCAATAAGGGAAAAGACTGATACATTTAACTATGTAAGAATAAAAAATTAAAAAAAAAATTCCTACAAAGTGAAAACACAGATGACAAACAAAAACAAACAAATAAACAAAGGGAACTGGCATTACAACTAAAAGGTTAATATATAAAGAACTGATACAGAGAAGAAAAAGGCCAACAATCAAAAGGCAACAAATATGAACAGAGACGTCTCAGAAAGAGAGAAGCAAATGGCCCTAAAATATGTGAAAAGATGTCAGTCTCACTTATAATGAAATAAATGCAATTGAAACTATATTATGATACCATTTCTCACCGATCAGACTGGCAAAAACTTACAAGTCTTGCAACACATTTTGTTGCTGAGAGTGTGGGGAAACAGCCTCAAACATTTTCAGTGGGAATGCAAAATGGCACATATCCGGGTAAGGGAAATGTGGCATTACCTAGTCACCTATGCATATGACAAAGAATCTCTCCTTGACCAAACTGTAGTTAGGCTCCTCTGAGGCATCTTCTCAAGGAGGCATGACCTTGGGCTTCCATTTCTGTTCCTGTAGAGCCCAATTTTAGCAAGAATCCTGGTAAGCAGCTTTACCCAGAATCCCTCCACCCTTGATACCTGATCAAATTCCTCACTCCGCACTCCCCCCCGCAACCCGCCATGATACTGATCACCCTGGTCTGCCTTCAGCAAGAATCTTGTAGTTCAGTTTAGCAAGAATCCCCCCTTACCTTTGAGGTTTCTCTTAGTAATTTTCCATCCACTGACCTCTACCTTGCTCTTTGACTATAAATCCCCACTTGTCCATCTTGTTTTAAAATTATTTTATTTATTTTTTGGCTGCGTTGGGTCTTCATTGCTGTGCGTGTTGGGTCTTCATTGCTGTGCGTGGGATTTCTCTAGTTGTGGCGAGCGGGGGCCACTCTTCGTTGCGGTGTGTGGGCTTCTCATTGTGGTGGCTTCTCTTGTTGCAGAGCACAGGCTCTAGGCGCACAGGCTTCAGTAGTTGTGGCACGTGGGCTTCAGTAGTTGTGGATTGCGGGCTCTAGAACACAGGCTCAGTAGTTGTGGCGCACAGGCTTAGCTGCTCCGTGGCATGTGGGATCTTCCTGGACCCGGGCTCAAACCCGTGTCCCCTGCATTGGCAGGCAGATTCTTTTTTTGTGTGTGTGTGGTACGCGGGCCTCTCACTGCTGTGGCCTCTCCCGTTGCGGAGCACAGGCTCCGGACGCGCAGGCTCAGTGGCCGTGGCTCACGGGCCTAGCTGTTCTGCAGCATGTGGGATCCTCCCAGACCGGGGCACGAACCCATGTCCCCTGCATCAGCAGGCGGACTCTCAACCACTGCGCCACTAGGGAAGCCCGGCAGGCGGATTCTTAACCACTGCACCACCAGGGAAGCCCCTGTCCATGTTATATTCATAATCGAGTCCAGTTCCACACTGAGGTCTCTTTTCCCCTATCACAATAGTTCCTGAACATAATCTGGTTTTACTGATTTAACTGCTGTCCAGCTCTGTTTCTTCTTTGACATGTATATCTAGAAATCCCATTATCTAAAAATCCATCCCAATGATACTTTAGCAAAAATATAAAAAGGTGAATACACTACACTATTCACTGTAGTATTATTTACAGCATTGATTGTAACAGCAAAGCCTATAAAAAGCCTCAACTTGTCCATTAATAGGACTTCTTTTTTTTTTTGCGGTACGCAGGCCTCTCACTGCCGCGGCCTCCCCCGCCGTGGAGCACAGGCTCTGGACGCGCAGGCCCAGCGGCCACGGCCAACGGGCCCAGCCGCTCCGCGGCATGCGGGATCCTCCCGGACCGGGGCACGAACCCGCGTCCCCTTCATCGGCAGGCGGACTCCCAACCACTGCGCCACCAGGGAAGCCCCTAATAGGGACTTCTTGAATAAACTATGGTAAATCCACACAGTGGGATGTGCTGTTAAGTGAAAAAAGCAAAATGGAGAAAAATATGTATGATATGGTACTGTTTATCTAAGAAAGAGGTGAACATGAATATATGTATATTTGTTTACATTAGGAAAAAATGAAAAAGTAAACCAAAAAATAAATAATAAGGTTACTTATAAAGTGGGAGAGAGTGCACTGGGTGAAGGGAGTAAGGGCAGAAGCTGGATTTCTCTGAATGTATCTTGTTTTTTAGATCAACTTTGGACCCATGTAAATATTTTATGTACTTATAAAACAAAGTTAAACTTTAAAAAAGCAATCCCTAAAAACAAAGTAAAAATGAAACGAATCAACTGAACTGACAGAGAGGAATTATTTCATGTAAATTTAAAACATGGTAATTTTACCATATATCCTAGTGGGATGAACCCAAAGAGGAAAAATGAAGTTTCTAGTAGTCATATTATTAGCAATAATATATTAGTATTGTTCATATGAAAAGTATGGTATAAAGATAAAGCAGTGGGTCTCAACCAGGAGGCAATAGTGCCCCTAAGAAGATATCTGGCAATGGCTGGAGGCATTTTTGGGCTGTCACAACAACTGAGGTGGAGGGTGCTACTGGTATCTAGTAGATGAGGTTAGGGATGCTGCTGAAAATCCTACAATGCACAAGACAGCCCCCACAAGAAAGTATTGCCCAAAATGTTAATAGTGTTGAAGTTGAGAGACGCTGAGATAAAGCAAAGAAGTAATTATGATCTGTCCCTAAAAACCAAGATTTTTTTTTCAGAGTAAGAGTAAAGAGATAGAAATATAAAAATCAAAGAAGCCAAGCAAAAATCCTGTAATCCTATATTTTAAATCAGAAACATCATTATGAACATCATCATTTCTCTTAAGAAAATACATAGTAGCTCTGTCCACTGAAAAGGCCAAAAAGCAATAAGCAATCAGACAACAATGAGCACAGCACACCTACCGCCCAGATTTGTGGTCTCCAAATACTATTTCCCACCAAAAGGAATCAGTTTCTTAGAGAAATGGCTGTCTCCAGGTCTGGGGCAAGAAATATGCACTTTATGCCTTGTATTGACATCTTGGATTAATGTCAAAAGGAATCAGAAGTTGGGAATTCCCTGGCAGTCCAGAGGTTAGGACTCGATACTTTCACTGCGGGGGGTCTGGGTTCGATCCCTGGTCAGGGAACTAGGATCTCCCAGGCCGCGAGGCACAGCCAGAAAAAAACAAAACAAAATGAAAAAAAGGATTCAGAAGTCAGTTTGAAAAGGCTACCATTGTGAAAGATGGGACTGAAAAACAGCTACATGAATTGAAACACATCAAGTACAAGTTCATATTGATACTCATTAAAACACAGAAACTCATTCACTGGTCATCTTTCCAGAACAGTAGGGTACCAACTTATTTTGAAAACTGGCAAATAAGGGAAAGTATCAAGTATTCATCCTGCCTTTCCTGTATGAACTAACTCAGAGTAATCAAAGAGTTAATAAAAGAAGTTTCCTTTATAAATGAATTCAGCTAAATGAAGGTTTATAGAATTAGAGTATCTCCAATTTGCAACCCCTAATGCAAACAGACCTAGGCAATGATATCAATGGCTGCTAACATCACACAAAGAAAACAGACATAAATATATGCCTCAGTGTGAAAGCTCCAGTCACCACGTGTGAAGCCCTCTTTCTAAAAATGAAACTGAATCCATTCAAGCCTCTAGGTCTAAACATCAGATTACAGGAAATATAGGGCACAGAGGAACATGATCAGATGACATCACAGGGACACAATCAACAAAATCCAGAACTCGGGAAATTCTTCAGTAGAAATGATCCATTTTCAATATATATATTACCAGGGAGAAAAAAGAAGTAATCTTTTTAAATATTTAAGAGATATATCAATTAATTACAACATATGGACCATATTTATGTTATTATTTAAAGAAACTAAATGGAAAAAAGCTATGAATCAGGAACATTTGAACACTAGATGGATATTTGATGATATGTGGAGTAACTGTTAATTTTAAAGGTGTGACAATGGGATTGTAGCTTTTTAATAAATTTAGTTTTTTGTATATATTTTTATTTTTGCCTGCGTTGGGTCTTTGCTGCGCACGAGCTTTCTCTAGTTGCAGTGAGCAGGGGCTCCTCTTCGTTGCGGTGTGTGGGCTTCTCATTGCGGTAGCTTCTCTTGTTGCGGAGCACGAGCTCTAGGCACGCGCGGGCTTCAGTAGTTGTGGCATGTGGGCTCAGTAGTTGTGGCTCGCAGGCTCTAGAGTGCAGGCTCAACAGTTGTGGCGCACGGGTTTAGCTGCTCCGCGGCATGTGGGTTCTTCCCGGACCAGGGCTCGAACCCATGTCCCCTGCATTAGTAGGTGAATTCTTAACCACTGACCCACCAGGCAAGTCCCCTGTAGCTTTTTAAAGTACTTGTTTTAGGGACTTCCCTGGCAGTCAAGTGGTTAAGACTCCGTGCTTCCACTGCAGGAAGCACGGGTTCGATCCCTGGTCAGGGAACTAAGATCCTGAATGCTGTGTGGTGAGGTCAAAAATAAATAAATAAAGTATTTGTTTTAGCTACATACTGAAATATCTAGATGAAATCCAATAACTAGAATTTGCTGCAAAATAATCAAGTGGAGTGAGAAGTGGAGGGAGTATAATTGAAACCAAAATGGCTATGACTTGATAATTAGTGAAGCTGGGTAATGAGTATACATGGGAGTTTACTATTCTCCACATTTTTATATATGTTTGAAATTTTCATAATAAAAATTGGGATAAAAGAACTATCTTAAAAATATATACATGTAGAGTTGTACAATGTCATTTCATTAGCTTCTTAAAAGACAGTACTTTTGCTCTATCAGTAATGTGAAGTGGGGAAAAGTACTATGAACTCATATTTAAAGTGATGAACATGAGAAATAGATTGATCATGCTTAGGATAAAGATGCATCTGTTTTAAGACAACCAAAGAGCTCATAAGACATCTGGTTGACTCACAGCTTGAAGGCAATGTGGGCACAGAGAGAAATTTTAGCAGCACACGGATGTGCAATGTGAAGTCAAACACAGACAATAGTTATAAACTGCCTATTGCACAATTAAAGTTATCACTTGTCAACATTCAAGGTAGGAAAAATCAGATCTGTTCTATGTAACCTGGAATGTCTGGTTATTAAAGGAAAACACAACCAAACTGATTATAGAGAGAAAAGTACAATGCTTTAGTAAACCTATATAGTTATAATTTGTAACTAGACTTTTAAGTCACCCAAACAAGATTACAATTACTTTTTATATGTGCTTAAAACAAACAGTTAAGAGAATGTTACTATTAGGTCACGATAGACTGTTTATGATAATCAAGGTCCCAGAGTCTACTCTACAGATTTAAAACTAAAGAAAAACACTTTTGGACTTCCCTGGCAGTCCAGTGGTTATGACTCCACACTTCCAATGCAGGGGGAGCAGGTTCGATCCCTGATCAGGGAACTAAAATCCCATATGCCGTGCGGTGCGGCCAAAATAAAAGAAAAATAAAGAAAAACACTTTACCAAAAAGAAGATATAATCAAGCTAGACATCTCCAGAAAGCATTAAAAATATTTCAACTCTCAAACAGACTATATCAAATATGTTTCTTAAATTCTCTCTGGAGAATATGTATATAAAAAAGCAAATACCTCTATTTAAAAATATAAGTATTAAAAAATGTAAGTATTAAGCATATTTAAAGAGGGCAGACCTGCTCAGTAATAGCCACTGAAGATCCACCAGATCCATTTCAAAGCAATGAGAAACAGAAAATGGGCACTAGAAGTAGTAGCATACTGCTCCCACTTAA